TCTTATGTGGAAGTAATTGTATAAATTTCTTAGTATAAAAATATTACTGTATAAATTTACGGCGCTTTTGAGCTTTTTCCATGTTGTAGTCCCCCCATGAAATAACTTGAATATATTAATAGCTTCAACAAGTTAAAACACATTCATTATTCCTGAATTAAGCATTTTGTAACTTAACTTTTACGATACACTATTGCAGACTATCTTGATTAAGAGTATTTATACATAGTAATTGTGTAAGTAGCTAATTAGTATTGAAAAATGTGTTTTTCACCAGAGATGAAAACATAACTTAGCAATGCGAAATATTGTCCACGTTTTTTTTTACCATATTCACAGAAAGGTTTCATTTAATTCATTGTGAAGGAGCAAACTAAAGTCAGAAAATCCATCCATGTGCTTCATCTTTATTGTTGCAGATTGAATGTGAAGAATATGGTGGACATTTGGCAAAGGTCGAGAGAAAGTTTGAAGACTCATGGTTGATATCTCATTTAACAGGTACAAACCTCTCGTAACTAAATTCTACAGATCTAAATCTAAATTTACATTAATGTATTGATCAGTTTCAAAATATGCACATAACGTGTATGTTTTAATGTATATGAAGTGAATATAAGGGAATATTTGGTAAGGTAAAATACACATGGAGTTCGTCATACAAAATCGGCACGTTAACATGAAACAATAAAATATACAAACATACTTCAATTGTCTCCTTTTTTTGAATTCCTGATACAAATATATCATGTATATCATGCATTATACTGAATTACACAAATGTCATTAGAAAGAGTAAAGTATTCTCTGAGATCTTATTAAGTCAGCTAAGTTAAAACATAAGGTTCCTCGAAACAACGTTTAGATAGGAATGTCGTTGATATATGTTATAGTGTGAAAACATGCATGCAAAAATAGATAATATATTTTCGACGAATTGTGTTATTCTTACTTCTGCCAGCGAATGTGCTAAATTTTAAATAATTTAATATTTGATAACATATCGAAAACAATATTACCTTTTCGATTGTATAGCGCTACTTATCTTTCGGAAAAAGATATATATTATTTCGTGAAAGCAGGGATAAAAGAAAACAATGCACATCTTACAATTTACTAGTAAATTTGAATATCCGTTTGGTAGCTTTTGCTTTTCTTAAACACTGCTTTAAAGGTTCCGTTTATAACTTTATACAGCATGAATCAAGCGTGTAATTATTTTTTGTTATCAGATTTTGCATGGATTGGATTAAATGATATTGACAATGAAGGCCAATGGCACTGGATTTCAGACAGTTCCGGACTTAACTATACAAACTGGTTACTAGCTGAACCCAACGGTTCTGAAACAGAAAATTGTGTTAGTTACTGTAAAGACTATTGTCTTAAGACATTTTATGGATGGAATGATGAAAGCTGTAACTTGTTGCAAGGATAGGTATGCGAACGTCAATTCGACATGTTCAATTGAGTGTTTGTCTGTTAACGTTCTTTAAAAAAATATTAGAATAAGGAGAGACATTATAAAAATAAATGTGTAGCAGCAGTTTGAATTTTCTGTTGTTATTAGAATTAACCATGATTAATACAAATGAGTGGTAATGAATTTCTCGCTGCATTGAAGACCTGTTGGTGACCTTCTGCTGTTGTCTGTTCTATGGTCGGGTTGTTGTCTCTTTGACACATTCCCCATTTCCATTCTCAATTTTATAATCTATTTCCTTTTTGTTTTATTATTTGGGTTACTAGAAAAGTATCAACAACTACAAGGTAAATTCAAAAAGGGGAGAGTCCATGAAACCTTACAAAATTAAATGTTACAGATGGGTGTAGTCCTAACCTGTACACAAGTTAACTTGGAGCAGACTTTTTGATTGCTTTCCAAGTTAACTTGAGACATTTTTAGCAGACAATCAAGTTAACTACGTCGTTGGTATACCAGACATAGGTCTGCTTTTTTAAGACTGCTGCAGACCTATTGAGAAGTCTGATCCAGACCAGACCTGTGGACACGTCTGCTATGGACCTGTCCTGAGGACAGGTCTGCCCCAGACCAGACATGAGGACAGGTCTGCTCCAGACAAGACCTATGGACAGGTCTGTTTATGACAGATTACCGTGTTTAAGACTTTTCATATTAGACTTGAGCTTTTATTATGTAAACAAAAATCACATTGTTCTTTTTTTTACAGTATAGCAAATTTCTATACCGTACTCGTAAGTGACTCTGTGTGCATATTATACACATTAAAAATTACTTTTTTCATTTCATTTTCTAATATACATTAAATAATGGCAATAAAATTACACACTTGTGATCGACAAATCTATCATGCAGCTATCATGAAAGAAATTATTATTGTTTTATCTTTTTTCAATAAATAGACTCGTAAAGTATTGTATATTTTGAAATATTGCATTCTCATATTAATAATGTATTGTTTTTTATTGTTATTCGGAGCGGACTTTATAAGTATTGTTTACTTAAACATGTGTCCAATCCGTTTTACTTTGAGTAGATAAAATATGTTTAAACTAAAACTTTGAATTTATATATGGGCTTATCATTTGTTGGTAATTTAGAAGAATGACACAACTTTGATAGTTTCTGTAAACAATGTTAATTTTTTATCATTTTTTTTAACATGGAGTAATGCAGGGCTTTCTTCATGGTGTATATAGCTACATCTGATTTAATTGTGTAAGGAACATCGTCTAAAGTCACCGCTTGGCATTCGTATTGATAATAATAATAATAATAATAATAATAATAATAATAATAATAATAATAAAAATAAAAATGATAACAATAATAATAATAATAATATAATAACAATAAAAATAAAAAATATAATAATAATAAATAATAATCTATATACTCAAAAAATCCAGTTGAATGAAATGAAAATTGAATTCCATACGTTGTAGAAAAAGAGAGAAAGCACCGACGGAGAAAATATCAATAATTAATCGACAGTATTATGTTTTTTAAATAAGTGCAGTTGCAATGTTCATAGTTTTTAGTCTTAAATATATCTATATATCTATATGTTCAGAATGATTGTTTTTGTTTTCTTGAGAGTAAAGTCATGTCAGTTTAATTCGAAAAGTAACATTCAAAATGTTTGATTTTTATGAATAAAAGACATCTATCAGATTTGTGTAGGGCAGCAATTACCTTTTGCTTGTTTGTATGCGTTTATTTATTATCTTTATATGAATGACAACTGCAATTTAGTTATTAGGAAAATAGCCGTAGAAAGTATTAAAACTACAAGCTTGGTCTTTTTCCTTGAATCATTTTACTGGTACTTGGAAATAATTGTAATATAGGAAATTTTACAATTTGGCAAGTGCAATTTTTGCATCAAATGCATAATTCAAAACACAAATCATATGTGGATGATTGATTGCTGGTGTTCAACGCTACTACCAGCACTCTTGGCATTATCGTGGCTGTCAGCTTGTATTGGTGGAGGATGCCGTAGTTCCCGATAAGAACCACTGACACTAACAAATGCATGTACCTTGACGACATTTGCATCGATGGCATTAACATATACGTGTATTGGTATCCTGTCTTACAAGTCCATGGGGGATAGATTAGTAAACGTTGTAACTACGTTATTTAATCAGTGAAAGTACGTCATCGTTACATCGCAACTTGAAGTTAACGGTTAATGCTAGGTTCTTTTCGCTTGTGTTGAGATTTTCCTGTGTGAATTTTGCCTTATGCGAACTAAAGAACAAGGCCGCAATTTAGAAGATGCTGTATACTTTCATCAAAGACTGTATTATATTCTTCTTGAAATGATAACATACGGGTTGGGGACCATTGAAGTAACTCCTTTACTGAAGCATTGTTCTTTATTCTTGAAACTTTGTTGGTTAGTTGAACAGAGAAATAATCTGTGATTCAATAACATGAAAGCGATAACTATATAGTTTTTATTCATGCTACATTGTAATCAACATCCATATCTACACAGATCCGGAATGTACGTAAAAACTTAAACTAGAATATACTATTATCAGGTAAATTTAATTAAATACAATACGTGTTACATTGTTTAATATCATCTACGGATAAGTTTTAACAAAAGTTGATTTTAACTGAAGATCCCATGGGTAACAATAGTAAATTATAATAAAACGTTATTCTGATATTCATATTTACGTGTGTAGACGGTAGTTTCTAAGAATCTCCCTTTTAGTGATTGATGACTGGTGTTTTACGCCACGTTATGTGTCAGACCACCAATTTAAAATTCTTATCTATTCAACCATTTTTTTTTTCAATTTCCACAAATTTCTAAAAACATTAACTTAATTGTAACTTCATTGAAACCAAGTATATCCTGAATTGTATATGTATCTACTTTCTACATGCCAATATTCAACCAATGTGTAAAATCGTGTAATGAAACATGACCGTTCGAAAGGCAACTACTACTGAAAGTTATCCCCGTTTCCGGATATCTTCGATAAGTATAACACAAGGTACTATGGAGCGCATTATTCTTCAATTGTTAAAGCAAACTCAAGGACAAGAAAATGTTCTAAATGTATTTCGCTTTCACCAAAGTATCGTTTCTGCAAATGTGTTGGTTGGTTTAAGTCAACAATGACATCAAAAGCATTATTTTTTTGTTAGGAAAGGGCTACTTTTACACACGTTCTAAATTGGAGTCGGTGAAGTGGTGGTCTGTAACCCTTAAGGACTACTGGCTATTTGAAGACGGTCAGTTTTTATTGATGGATAGCCTGGAGAGACCCACCAACCTTCGGATGGAATACTGACAATGCTTGTCAATTAAGATTGAAGTAGAACATACATGCCACGCGCGTGGTTCAAACGCACAACATCAGTATTGGCAGACTAGTGATACAGTAGTTAAACTACTTAGTCCGCCAGGCCACCGAGACCCCACAAATAGCTACATAATAATGGTATGTTCGCCAAAAGCAAACAAATAAACACACAAAAATAAATCTTATGACAAAATACATTAAATTTGTAATAAAGGAAAAAAAAACAATACACATGTATCAGTTTTACTTAATGATTGAAAAAAATACAAATGTAAAATCGGGTCGACTTAAGGTTGCTCAACAATTTACTATGTATGAGTTTAGTGTATTTATTATGTAAAGATAGCTTACAACATGTGTATCAGGTAACAATTAAAACATCGAACTATCTATCAGAGCACTATGTATAGTATGCAATGTACTGAATGGTTTGTGTTTTTTGTCGAATTCATTGTTTTCTCAATTGCCATTGGGAAATGGATTGATCTTAGGTACAGTAGAATCATTGATGATCAGAAGCATTAAGTGTCTCCCCTTGAAGTTTCCAATTGGCACACATTTACTTACTCGTGCACAAGCAATTTGAACACACATTATTTAAATCATGAGTACTTAACATGTCTCTGTATCAAATTAATATAATAATGATTTACATATATAATGAAATCAATGATAATATCTGTGAATAAGATTTCATTTCGCTATTCATTCAATGAAGCTGCTTTAAACACTTATTGTAATACATTGTCTTATTGCATTTCCTAGTCATTTCTGTTTTTTTTTTTGTACCTGCAACCATCCTTTTTTATCAGATGTTTCGTTGTCCATTTTTGTCTGTTTTTTATCATTTTTATCGTTTGTCTGTTTGCCATGTAAGCCTTGATTCTACTAATAGAAAAAAAAAAGATATGGGTATCAATCCATGATACAATATCAGTACATGTACAGCAAAAAAAAACCCACATAAAAAGCAAAGGAACATCGCTTTTACTGTTGTTCGTCATCTTAAAGTCATACTCAGACCTTCAACACGGAGCCAAAAAAAAAACCCAAAAAAACTATCGCCTTACTGCAAGTTTAATACGGCAAGCAGGACCGGTTTGACCAGAATTCTTTGCAAAATGATTTTGACAGACTTTGTGAGATGTAACACCACCAAATCGGGCCCGGTAAAAAAAGAACATACCCGAAAGTAGTATATAGATTAAACAATATAGTTCCTACGCATAGGCGTAAATATAAAACTATTTAGAATATATTTAGTAATTAGGTGAGTATATGAAATATTCAAATTGCAATGTGTTACGCCATTGATAGGCATGCATATAGCTAGAACCATTTTAACAACCTCCATTGTTTAGTAAAATCTTCTACCATGTTTCATTTGATCACAATAAAGCAGTATCAAAACTTCCGTGTGGGCTCGTCTCATGTTAATCGTTCACTTAATTAGCTGTAGTTGTTTTAATGTCCTTGTTTTAGTTTTCAGCTAGATGTATTTTGTCTTCTGTGTTAAAAAAGAGACATAGTATGACTTTGTATTGCATAGAGAATGGACATATATTTCAATGTCAGTAGGATGTTAGTAGTTTTACCATCTATAGCGAAATAACAATTTAGTGCAAAACAATACTACAAATGACTACAAAGAATAAGAATGAAGAAAAGAAAACTGATTAATAGTGTATATATATTCAGAAGGATGTCTTTCGGGTTACAAAACAAGACGATACCAAACTGACAATCAACACTCACACTTCGAAGATAAACAATTTAAAAACAGTTAGAATACTAAAGACTGAGCAATTCAAATCCAACCGAAAAACAGGGGTTCTCTAAGGTGATCTGTAAGGGAATTAGTTATTATATAACAAGATAACTATGTAACGTACAAATTTATATATCGTTATTAACCCGAATAAATCTAATTGTGTAAGTTTTCAATGCTCTAAGTTAATATCCTCATGTCCACATCCAGATAGATTACACATGGTCAATAGAAATAAGATTAAATATGAAATAACTTTGAACCCATTCATTTATATCTTACTTGGTTAAACAGAAAGTTCAAATCTGGTTAATCGAGGTTAGCATTAACAATTAAATACATTTAAACAATAGCAATTTTATATCATAATGGTATTTTAAAATCCAGTTACACCATAACTTTTATATCACAGGTTCAATTTCAATCTACCTGAAATGTTTAGGTTATTGGTCGAAATGAGTCTGCGTGTTCTTACGTTAAGAATTAATAAGTTTTTTGCCTAGTTCGAGTGAATATTGTAAAACACGAAAGGTTTTCCTGACAAGTTGCTTGTTTCATATCGTTACTTACCACACATATCAAATACGTCATAGTATGTGCAGGTCTACAAACACAATAATCAGTACCTACAAAAGATTCGATGAAAATCAATATAAACTTCAACTTTTTTACATTTTTAACGAAACTAGAATATGAGATAGTATCAATAAAAGTGTAACTAAGTGGTATTATGACTGCTTTAATAATGTGTATCTTCAAACTACATAATGTGTAATAGTTGTGTCCCTAAAGACAAGGAAAATCAATTAAATATATTTTATGAGTTTTTGCTTTCCCTTTTTTTAATCAATTTTCAGACTGAAAGTGAATTATATACTTGGTGGTTTCAGTATAGTATGAATCTTCATCTGTTGTTATGAGACCGAAGGGATTTGTACTCATGTTTTCTTTTATAATCCAATGTATTCATAAGTGTATATAATTATGATCATACCTGAACTGTATTGACAGTTTTGTTTTTTCTCGTCAAGCATATTGATTTTATTTATACCACTAGACGTTACGTTATCAACATTTAATCAATCGTTCTGCTTGTTAAGAAATCATTTAAATATATCAAAGTTTGTAATGGGTTTTGTGTTATATTGGTAGGTTTCTCTCTGTTTATCGATTTGGTAAAACAGGACAAACATTGTAAGGACAAATCATAGGAACCAGAAAAAAACATAATTCTAATGTTTTGATTCATCGCTAACATATTTCCGACAGTGGCGTTATGGACTGAAAAGAAAAAAATATCCAATTAATCATACAAAAATTGATATTTAGCAAATTGAATAATTATCAATTTCATATTTAACAAAATACCTCAGTAATAACAAAATTGGGATCTTTATACTTAATGTTTACAAAAAAGAATCAATGAGAAATTAGTATTCTAGGTACATATATTTAGCTTCACATAAAGGATTATATACGAACAAAACATAATCGGTTATTGATTTGACGATCTATCAAAATAAAAACTATATCATTCTAGATTTTAAAAGTTCAGTAGCAATAATCTAATTATTGTAAGATCTTATCTAAACATTGTTAAGAATTTGAACGGATAATAGGTCATGAAAATAAATTGTAAATTAGAAATATTCAGTTTGCATTTGTTTTTCATGTAGTTCTTGTACTTGTTTATCTCTAAAATTATATTGAATAACATAAATTATTTAAAATATTTACGGCCGATTATTCAATAACAGCAACAAAGTAAAATAAACAAGACGTCATAAATAATCATAACTGATACAATCAATACAACAAAATATACTTTCATCATACAAACGCAGCCTTTATCGTTAATGAAGCACATGTATAACTCTAATACTACAACTATGCATGAGTTAATTAAACATAAATCTACAACAACTAGCAAGCACCAATCACCAAGCATGTACATAAAACGTAAATAGTTATAATGAATATAGATTGAAATATAACATAATTTATATTTGTAGAAGGTGAATTCTTTCCAAAATGTACGTCATATGTGTACTTATTTTTTTATTTTGTGTGCACCAAAATAGAAAAAAGGAGATATAATAAAAACATTTGCTTACAAACGTTTTAGCACCCCAATATTTGACACATTTTTATAGTTTTAAATTCGGTTTTACTAGCTTGATATTTTGTATTCTGACATAAAACTTTAAAACTACAATTGTCCTTATATACATAACAACTTAAATAGTAAAGGATTTGAATAACAGTTAAATGTATTTACCAGTGCATTGGAGGTCTTGTTCGTTCCGGCATATGACATCTCCTGTATAGTTATAATAGCACATGCTCTGGTTGCATACTACCGTTGAACATTGAGGTCCTGTGATGTGTTGTTTAAAAGTATTTTAGTTTCCTACATTTGTATTTATCATAACATGTATATATTTTCATGTGCAATGTATTGTAACTGGCATTGTCTTTTCCATTATCAATTTTTCATATGCCTTTATTATGTGTGCCTGTAGAAGTTACCATTAACCAAAAAAAAGTAGATATGTCATACACGTTTGTTTATATGTAAAAGTTATTTGTTTTACCGAACACAATTGTTGTAAGAAAAGTGTTTAGCACCAACGAATAGTATCTCAATTATATGTATACCCATATTTCTAGAGAACATTTGCCTGATTGTTTCAAGTGAAGGGTTCGTTTCAACAGTTTTACTACATGTACTATTAACATTGACTACTGCCACTCAGCATGTTTAGCCTTGTGTTTATTTTTCATTTATAATTTGATACGAAGACACGCGATCGTTATTGGTATTTTAACTTTAACATGTGTCGATAAATATAATATCTGGTTGATCATTGTACAATAGTTTTATTCAAATATATTCTTAAAAGTATGCATTTACCATTGCATTTGTCGAAAAAACAGGAAGGCAAACTTGTAAGAAGAGCATCATCTAGATCAATACATTTTACAGATGACTCATACCTTTCGACCAAGTTTAGCCAATTCCGGAAAGGCTTTATGTTGCAGTCACAATATACGTCAAGAGTACTGTCAAGAGAAGGTACAAGATGTTTTATATTCCTTTAGTGAACAATTACATGATTTGCTCTCTGTAACAATACGCAACATTCGGGTTTTATTAGAGAGTCAATGATATTTTGTTTGGAATGCTATGCAAACTGTTGCTTTTTCATGTTAGTTGCATGTGTCTTTTTCATTTAAACATAATGTTTTCTGTCATGAGACATGTGTACGGGCCAATCTATACAGGTGACTTCGAACATCTGTTATGACAAACGGCAAGCCCTCTTAACAAACAAACAAATCAGTTTAGCCATCCATGAGGTTGAAGAAGATGCTTTTCACTCTTAAGAGGTTAGAATCGTTGTCACCTGATATCAACTCAGGTTAGCAATATTGGCGCAATAAGTATTTTTGCAAGCCGGTTAAACGGAATTAAAAAAAATATTCAGAGTAGCTATAAAAACACACATTTTGCTGTTTATCAATAATTCTTTTTTTATCAGAAATTTTTATTCGTAAATTGCCGATAATCGTATTTTCGTAGATTTTTTATTTCGTGGCAACAAGACGCTGCATACAAACAATCAGATAATTCCCTCTTCGTTTAACATTTAATTTTTTCTTGTTACATCTTCACCTAAGAAATCATCGAAAATGAGTATCCCTCGAATATTAATGAATCCACAGTACTGATTATCTCGTGGACAATCGTTCTCTCAAATGTATAAAGTATTACTGTATCGTATTTATACAGCTGATTTGTCCCTGTAATTATCATATATCGATAGTATATCCGAATTTGATGATGTTGTTGTTTTTATTACTTTTTAAGGCAAATAAACCCACATCTTTAGATTTTTTAAAAGTATATGTCTTTTGTCTTTCTTTGTGATTTCTTTATACAGAAATTGTTCTTTTATGTCAAATATTTCCAAAATTCTGTTTTATTCATTCATTCTTTCATATGTGTACTTAATTCTGAGACATTTTTATTTTCAGACTTTAGTTTTCTATGTTGTGTTTTGTAAACTGTTGTGTGTCTGTTGGTCTTCTTTTTTTTAGCCATGGCGTTGTCAGTTTATTTTTGACCGATAAGTTTAAATGTACCGTTCGTCTCTCTTTTATAGATTATCACGTTTGCCAGTCGTTGGGGAAGCATTATGACGTCGATTATCACTATTTTATAAGTAAGCTAATGGTTCATTGCTTGTATATTTTTTTTTGGAATAGTGTTAAGTCGATTTCTTTAAGTCTAAAAGAAAATGTCGATTTCGATACCCAAAAAAATATATTAAAACAAATGTCAAATAAATGAGCAAGGGTCAAGCTAATGCCTATATTGTTTTAAAATTTCATGAAAGGAAGCAAAAACTTACACTTTCGCAACAAAAAGTTAAGTGCCAGTTTTTACATATTTGTTTGTTTTTCTAGTGATTAAGATTATAACACAATGTTGACTGATGTACCCCTATTTTTGACATTTTTACCTATCATGTCTGTTTGTTTTGTTCAAACATTGCTGTCAATATAATGGAATGTTGTGCGACTGTCATACAAGTGAGAGGTTTAGCTAGCTATAAAACCAGGTTTAATCCACCATTTTCTACATAAGGAAATGACTGTACCAAGTCAGGAATATGACAGTTGTTTTCCATTCGTTTGATGTGTTTAGGCTTTTGATTTTGAAATTTGATAAGGGACTTTCAAATTGAATTTTTCTTGGAGTTCGGTATTTTTGTTATTTTACTTTTTTTACGTGGTTTTGAAGTTCTTAATCTTCAGTTTTTTGTCTGATCTGTGTCGACCTGAGTATATAGGTAAACTTCTGTCACCTTAAAGTATACACATGCCCATTGTTTCTTTTGACCAAGAGTAATTGTATACACATTATTTGTGTTTTCATTATAAATATTTAAACTTACAGAACAGTTAAGTTTGTCATATCTTGAAACGCTCCTTCTTCAACAAATGTTAATTTATTTCCAGTCATCCATCTGCATGTACAAATACATGTAATTGTATACATGTATTGTAATAGTATTGAAAAAAATGTTGCATTTATACATTTATACATTAATTTTATAGTAACAATAAATTAAGGTGATGTGTACCGTATACATCTACATTGTGTGCATGCATATACATTTATTGTTTCTTTTGACCACGAGTTATTGTATACAAATTATTTGTGTTTTCAGTATAAATATTTAAACTTTCAGAACAGTTAAGTTTTTCATATCTTGAAACGCTCCTTCTTCAAGAAATTCTTATTCCTGACTTGGTACAGGCATTTCCTTATGTAGAAAATGATGGATTAAACCTAGTTTTATAGCTATCTAAACCTCTTACTTGTATGACAGTCGCATAACATCTCATTATATTGACAGCAATGTGTGAACAAAACAAAAAGACATGCTAGATACAAATGTCAAAAATAGGGGTACAGCAGTCAACATTGTGTTATAATCTTAATCACTGGAACAACAAACAAATATGTAAAAACTGGCACTAAACTCTTTGTTGCGAAAGTGTAAGTTTTTGCTTCCTTTTATGACATTTTAAAACAATATAAGCATTAGTTTGACCCTTTGCTCATTTATTTGACATTTTTTTAATATATTTTTTTGTTTATCGAAATCGACATTTTCTTTTAGACTTAAAGAAATCGACTTAACAATATTCCAGAAAGTATATATTTGTATACTTCAATTTATGCTCAAACATCAAAGTTTCAGCTCTCACCTATTACATATGGACTTTTCCATGATTATGTATTTTATTCAGTTTAGAATGACACATTTGTTTTTATCTTAAAAAAATCGGTAAAATTGTATAGTCGCAAAGGCAAAATTGTAATGTCCAATGTAACACTTCTATCGAAAGTTTGACATAGATGATAGCCATCAGTCTGTTGATGAAGACTGCTAATTCTTATATGTCTTCCTTTTGTGTGTGTCTCAAATTCTAATAAGTTTTTTTTTTTTAACCTATTTTATTATATCACACCTCATATTATTCAATGCATTCTATAAAATTGAATGTACTCTTTGAGAATTGTTTAACAATTTTAACACACATGTGTATAATGTTTATCGTTAACTCACATTTCCTGTATATTGTCTAAGCCATTGAAATAGACCTTTTTCACATCACTTATTCTATTGTCGGATAATTTCCTGTAAAGATTTTAAATTTAAGTTCTCTTTTTTTTTTAAGATAATCCGAATAATTCAGATCCTCCCAGGTACGCTTGACTCCATTTCTAATTGACTAGGATTGTCAGTTTTTCGGCCGAAGATCGATGGTTTTTCTCTGTGCACTCCGTCTTCCTCCACCAACAAAAACTGAATGCCAGGAAATAGCACAACAGTGCTCAAAGTGGCGTAAAACACCAGTCAATCAGTCCCTCTCATGATCAACTCTGCCATTTGCGAGGTCCTGTAGACTTTATACGACAAAACGCGTCATGAATCCAGGATTTTGATTGCAGCTCTCCGGAGGAGAGAACCAATTAGTGTGTAGCTTAATGTTATCGAAATAGGTAAATCCCGAGCTAGTTCCGAAAGAATATTGGACACTTGTTTTTTAACCAGCATTTTTGGTGTAAATTTAACCATAGTTGAGCAAAGGAATATAACGAATGAAATTTTCGTGTTTACTTTTTAGTCATAATCAATATATATTTAAGCTTTTAACATGTATACAAAAGACAGAAAATATATACAATACTAAATATTGATGTTCGGTTATTTCATTAGTCTGGGATTTTTAAGTTATAGAGCAAATTAATAAAATGGCATCACTCTATATAAGATGTGTCAGTCTTGTCGGAAACACGACGCATGTATTTCTTTTTTCTTACTTGAATATTTTTATGTTAAACCTGCAACATTGTTTTGAAAAAATTATCAGGCTATCTTGGATTAATGTTTTTTTGCAAGCGAACTGCACCAAACACTTGAGTGCTTTATATGTTTAATGATTGTTGTAAAGTAATCTGTTGGTGGGGTTTACCAAACATTTCACCGTTTCATAGTCACTGTGATGATACACTTCCTTTATTCCACGTTTTTTTTCATTGCATTTTGTAATTATCAACTAGATTTAACGTGTCTATAAACTTACAAAATAACCAAATTTGTTAAATGAGAAAACGAATTTGGCTGTATTACTGCTATACTATTAATTTGTAAATCCCTGCAAGAATTAAAAACATGAACTATAATTTATGATTACAATATATATATAAACATGAATAATAAAAAGAAGAAAACAATGATATTACTTTAAAATAGTTTTGCTAGTTTATATAGTACGTATTTTCTGTATGTCTTTGTTTTTTTATTCATCACACCAAACTTACGTTCGATACCGTATATCTTTTGATTTTGTATTTATCATGTTTATCAAAATTAAGTTACACTTTATGTGTTCCTATACTTTGATGTGATTAAATATTATATTATGCTATATGATTTACCTTTCTACATTTCCTACCGTGAAGATGGTCTTTTGTCTCCTCTTTACCATTTAGATTTTTCAACATTTTGAATCTGTGGATGCTTTCTTACTATATAGTTACTGTAAACCAAATATTTTTTTTCGACCGATTTATTTTTGCAACCTTCGCGAGTAAAAAGATTATGCGACAATGTAAAACTTTGATCTTTCTTTATTGAACTTCATCAAATAAATCTAAGATAGGAGAAATTAAATCGCTGCAAAGTGGACAACAAAAGACAAAGCGCAAAATAAAGTATCCGCAAGAATAAGTTGTTTACAGTACCTCAATAAATAACTAATCGAAGCATTTCCACAAGTACCTAATAACTAAGATGATTTTTGTTTTTGTCATAAGCTAACGGTGTAAACTAACCAGATTTGTTTGGTAACAAAATAGAATTACTACTAAATATTACTTGTGATTCGTACTTACAGCATGAACAAATTCGGTAAACCAGCGAATGTTGTATTTCCAATAACTGATATAGAATTTCTATTCAGGTCCCTACAGGAAACAATGCAATATAAAAGTGCAAATATTGATAACTTCTTTTTCATTAATATTTCGAAACTTAAACAACTTTAATATTGTGTCGTATTCATGTTTAAACATGTTCACTATTGGGTGAAGAAAAACCAATGGAAAATTGGAAAATAATAAGACGAAATATCGCTATTTGTCATTTGAGTAACGTGAAACATGAATAGACTATGAAAACATTTTCCTGGTAGACAACATTCTACCACCAATTATGCCATCCGCAGTTCATTTTCATATCAGTATTTCAATACGTACAAAGTAGGTTTTAAAATCAGTCCAGTTTATAAAACCCAAGTTTCCAATCCCTAGGTCAATGTTCATTTTACATAACATTAGCTGTAATAATTGTGTTGTTGTATTTTATTTTACTTATTTATTAACTCGTTCAACTCCAATCATGGTGATGTATCTGGTAGTATTTTTCGGTTGTATTGTATTTACTTTTGGTTAATATTTCCTATTAGTCCCAATCATGTTCTTCCTATAGATATCTGGACTATTACTATTAGTGTAAATGATATGTACTTGATGGATAAATAATTCATGTGTTTGCTGCACAAATAAAACGCAATACTTTGTAACGTATTTTGATAAACTATTTAAAACATTAAACTAAAAATTATTATTGCATAAATAACATTTTTAAAGTAACCCTAACACTAGCTACCTTAAATTTTGCGTTTTTGTAAATTACACAAAACGACGGTACTTAAATAAATATCAGATACAAAAACCAAAGCACAATACCACAGCAAGTCAATTGATGGAACAGAATACCGTTTGTAGAATCAAGTACAATAATCAACACTTCAATAATAATACTGGTAAATTAGATAGCAAAATATGTTGCCCAAGCCTAATAGTTTTATAAATATCAACCAAAGTTGATAAAAAGTAACTGACAGCACGAGTAAATTACTTGATGAACTTACAAAACAGTTAACAATTCAAACCTGTTGTATATAACAGTATTATTTATGAACGCAATTTCTCTCTCTCTCTCTCTCTCTCTCTCTCTCTCTCAAATTGGTCAATACGTTTATTCTAAAAGTTCAGTAATGGCTTGGTATCGATTATGAATTTGTAATGTCATCATTATTTCTATCATTTACTTACATGTTTCTTAAACTGGTAAGATTTTGGAAAGCATTTGCACCAATATCAGTTATACTATTTAAATAAAGGTTCCTGAACAAAAAATATTCCAAAATTATGTGATCGGTAAAAATAAGATGCAAATCTGGCAATTGTTTGCAAAAGATAATATGTTGATGGTATATAAGTCAAATAATGCATATTTGAATGTGTTTCGTGTCGTATAGCACACCTTCGGGTGTCAGGATTTCCTAAGGTTTTTTTTTTATTTGATTAATCCCGAAACCCCTCGGTTTGGCATGCGACAAAAACACCCTTGATAAATGCTGTATCTATAACATAATTGACTGATACTGTATGTATTTAAAGTATTGCTTACTTTCAGTAGAATGTGAAGAAACAAAAGATCAATAAATAACGCACAGTAGTATTTAATCAAAACACTTAGAGGTACAAGCTAGTGGATAAAGTGTGATTGTTAAAACTGGCATACACAGTTAACTTTGATTAACAACGCACGTAGAAAAACAAATCAAAGTAAAATTTTAAATTACAAAATACTAATTTTAAAGCTATAAAGAAGTATGCATTATACCTCTTTATTCAACTGATATAATGTAATTCAAGTTTGTAATGAAATAGTACTATAGAAACGTTAGGGGTATGTGTTTTTCATATTTAAAGCCTAATGAAAATAAGTTATACTTCGAAAGCTAATGCGTGAATAACGAATGAACAAAATAATGAAAAACAATTTGTCAATGATACATTACACTGTTCATACTTATCATATTGAGTTTTTGGCACCAGTGCTTACCAACGCACACGCACATAAACAACCCTATCCACGCAAGTGATTATTATTTTGTGTGTATGCTAATTTTGATAGCTGCTACATGATATCTTACAATCCGCCCAAATTCGGAAGGTCTTTGAATGCTCCACTTTCAATCTGTTCCACCCCACTTTGTTGTAACCCTCTACGTGGTATTCATAAAGAAAAAATAACATGCAGTAATGATTAAGTGTGGATTTAGAGTATGTCTTGTTTATCTGTAAGTGTAAATAAATAGTAAAAAAAATAATAAAGTAAAAGAAAAAAGTCGTGTATATGTAATTTTGCTTATATTGATGAGTTAAATTAATCATCTTATGTAAAACACATGAGGAAATCGAAATTAATTTCAGCAAATCCAAACGCGGAATATTGATTGTTTATACATCTTAAAATCAAATACAGTTGAGATATAAAAATAATAATCATACCAGGACAAAACGATTTTCGACTTTTGAGTGTTGTGTGTTAGGTATAGGCGGTTCCCCATTCATTTAAAAAGTTAGGCACGTGTTTGTGTTTCGAAAACTCTCATTTGTACATCACAAAGTATAAAAGTCAGGAATCCTGGTTTAATTGATCCCTTATGTGTTCTATCTTGTCCTTTTTCTAATACTTATAATTCATTTTGGTCAATAATGTTTTCTTATGAATATGAATAAATAAAAACTGAACTATGTGCTAAAAATGTTATATGAATTATTGGTAGGAATTACTATATACTTCAACATGTTCAAATACAATATACTATCAAGCGATAACATACATCGACGAAAGGCTTTCCAGTCCCACAAAAGTGTCTGCTAGTATTGTACCGATGTTGTTATAATGCAGATCTCTGTTAAGAAAAAAAGTCATTGTTATTTTAAACATGGAACAAGAGCATTTGTTTCCGTTATACACTTATAACTAATGTAAATTATATCTGAGAATATATCGGACGTCGGTTGCCGAGTGGCCTAAGTAGTGCATTTACTCTTTCACTAGCTTGTCAACACTGCAAGTTTGGAGTTCGATCCCCGCATGTTGCAAGTGCGTGGGACTCCAATCTGATGTAATAAGGATTGGTAGTTTTTCGTTAGAAATATATGATAACAATGGCAAAGATATTGTTTAAACATTACAGCACCAGTAATTGACCGAAGTTTAAATGTCGTTAATCGATTATTAAGAGAAAAATCAAAATAGGAAAGAAAACCTTGAGGAAATCGCATGAACTTCAAACGCCCGAGACCGGGTGCGTTGACAAGGTAAGCGTCGTCTGCAATGCATGCAACACCTGCAATGCGAGTCCACACTTAGTAAAATGTTTCACTATCAGGAATAGGACAAACTCAGTAAAATAACAGATCAGACGATTATACTTCAAAAAAATTGGTACGTCAGACGTGCGTTTCGTCATTTCATAAACAGTAATTTTATGGAAAATCAACATACACGTATCAACAATATATTTCATGTCAATACAAAAGTGTGCTGACTACCGAGCTCTTGGTACCCTCAAGGCAAAAATGTTTGCTGATGGATGCATAGAATCAAATGTAGTGAAAGCTCATCAAAGATAGCAGGCTTATCATTTTGTACCATGAACGACCGTTTTTTTTTCTTCTTTTATAATGCATTCATCAGTGATGCTGGGTACAAAGTCGAAGTTGAAAGGCTTTAAACTTCAAAAAGTCCAAAATGTTGTGCAAAATAAGACTACGGCAATCTATACTTGGGACTAAAGAAACTAGTGTTTTAAATAATTCAATATTTTATAAACGGTACATTTTAAGAAAATCGACATATACAAGAAATTTCAGGTCAACACACAATACTAATTAATGACCTGCACATCAAATATACCGGACGCATGTTCCGTCTAAACACGATTCATCAATGACGCCCGAATCGAAACAACTAGAAGCACAACAAATAAATTAAAGAGCATTAAAAACCAAAAACAAGAGTAAATTTACAAAAGCAGAAGTATTGTTAATGTCAAATCAACGTTTATAGGTTGCAATTCTGTAAATATAGACAATGCAATTTCCCATAGGAACTCCCTTTGCGGCTAAAACTGTGACACTTTTACTATGAAGTTTCGTGAAAAATAATATCCCAGAACGGAAAGTTTATATGCACTACTATTTTATTCAAAGGTCAAAAAATAGGGCTGTGCGGCATATTTTCAACATTTATATGCCCTGAACTTCTAAGAGTTTAAACTTATACTAAAATTCTATACTACCCTTACCTTCATATTTGGACTTCCTAAGAATTAAAATTTAGGCGCTACCATGTTTTTCTATACTGGTTACATTTCCAAGTGATGTCTCTTTGAGATGAAACACAGAGATCATAAATGGGAACCAGTACATTAACAAATTAACATATCTATGAATATTATATATCTCCCCAAAAGAGGTGTGGTTTGAGAAACGGCTGTATTTACAAAGTGCAACCTATAAACTATAAAATATTACAGGATTTGTTTTTGTTCTCTCTAAGATATATTAAAACACATATATATCCCCATTATTCCAAAGCCAAACTTTTGCATTATATAGTCAGGAAGTTAGGATATGACAACATACAATCATTAAAGATGGACATTTTTTGTGATGTCACCTTCATTATGTCTGTGTGGGTTGTTCACACCATTATTTGTCTTTATAACAAAACTAGACAACTGAACTGTTATACATGTGGGGATTTAGATATCTATAAAACTAGGTTTAACCCAATATTTTGTTCTGAAAATATCTGTACCAAGTCGGGAATATGACATTTATGTGATGTCATTCCATTGGTTGATATAGTCGAGTGTTTAGTTGTGTCGAGTTTATGGAGTTCTCCATTTTTGACTTTGAATTAAAGTTCTGTTTTAGTAGTATTAAATGTGTAGTTATTACTGATTACGATACTAAAATTACAATGTATAGGTTATGAACAGCACATGTATATTGATAACAAAATATGTTTATGTATCAGTAATTTGAAACACAGATAAATTGCATTTCAAATAAGGCTTTAAACCAATTCTTCATGAAATTATAAACTGATATTATCCAATTTCTGGGACAGGGATGAATACAGTGTATATCACAGAAAAAAAAACCATGCTATAAAAATAACCACTCGACATGTATCTTAAATTCTTAGGTTAGCTTTGCATATAATTTTCATCTATTTTAAGTATTTATATTTTATTATAATTCTTATCATTTTGTCAACTAACGTTTCAAGTATTTTAATTGAAGGCTTATACATATGCAAATGCGACGAATTCAATTTCCCTATCTGATCAAAATGATGACATCAGTCAACAACAATATTACCTAAGAATCAGAAGTGTATCTTAAAAAAGAAGTGTGTAAATAAGAAAAAACAAAATATGACACAAAACTGTAAAAAAAAAAAATGAAAAAAAAAAACACTATGTAAACGTTATGCGTCCGAAGCTCATGTTCTGGATTTACCTTCATCAGGAACGCTAAAATCCAAATAAATGAAAGCCAAGGATGTAAAACAGTTTACTTTCAATTGAAAAAAAAATTAAAGTAAGAGCGTCAGCTCATTATAATTTTTTATAAGTGTAACAAATTAGATAAGTGATGTGGTTTTAAAAAAAAAAAAACGATAATTATAGTAAAATATTTTTAAAGAAACAAACATACTTAAACATTTTTTAATAACATTTATTTTCTGGCAACAACAAATATGTAGTAAAATATGAAAATTAACATTAAGAAACAGCATACAACTATACATAGGAAATATAAAAGTAAAAGAATATAGTGTAACATGAGTGAAGAATAATTCATTAAGTTTGGGAATACTATAAGCATATAGTTTCTTTTTTTTTACATTGTAGCGGCATTAGCTCAATGATATCTGTACTGTTATTGTACTAATATAATTAGTATCCAAATATTCAGATAATATAGATGAACGTGTTAAACATGTGAAATCTACATCATAAATATGTAAAATAAGGGTACAAATGTTTATGAATGGATGTATCCTTGCAATTTTAGCTTATTAAAAAAATAATGAATCTCTATATGCATAAATATGCTTACATATGTGTCAACTTCGAAAGATTTGTGAAGGCATTGGCGTCAATTTGTGCTATTATATTACTAAAAAGATATCTGGAAAATATCAACATAATGTTCACATTTAATTCATATTTGACTATGTGTGTCTATAGTTATTATTATTAAAGAAATTCATATAAACAAAGTCGACAAATTATTCAGCATAAACCTAATATTTATAACTAAAATATTATGAAAATAGGCTTTGCAACAATAACAGCAACAACATAGTAACCGTCTTGTTACGCGATTTGATGTATAAATGTATAAGTATATTAAGTAGCATAATGTTTTCAAAATATTGATAAAATAAAATACTGATGATATATAATATATTATTTAAACATTGTATACCACTTAATTACAGGCAGGACATGTAATAAGAAGACTGATTTATTTGTTAATCAAATTAAATATGATTGCTTCAAAGTTGTTTTTGTTGTTGGAAACATTAATATTAATATTATAATAAACATGAATGATGAACTGTAATTATTTTGGGTCGTATTTATAACCTTCCTTCTTCTTTTTTGTAATTGTTAATGTAATTTTGCTGTACGTCATTCTGTTATAACTATCAATATATCACCTGATTTAATATCGTTTGACAAATCCTGTATATTTTTATATGCTAGGAAAGTACAGGACGACAGCTTCACACTCATTTAAGGGAAGTAAAGTTAAATCAGTTTTACAAAAACACATTATTAATGAGAAAGAGGGGACGTATTCATTTTGAAATATGTGTTTGGACATTTCCATTATAGATTAATATCTTACAAACAAAACATAACATAGCAGCCGTTAAAGTATTCCATATGTGCATCCAAGCGTTATTCGGCTTTTAGTTGCTTATTAAAGTATCATAAATTTGAATTGTATTTGACAAAGTTTGAAATACATGTTTAACAATAATACTTAAGCGACAGAAAGTATCCATGACACTGTTAATTTCACATTTAATATGCATTGAACTTTAAATGAAAAAAATGGATACTTTAATAAGAATGTATTTCCATCGGTAACAGATGTTTTTGATAGTAACTACTAAGTATGCTAACAGATAAAAAACTTACATGTAGTCTAAGTTGGGCAAGTCTTTGAAAGCTCCAGTTTTAATTCGTTCCACATGGCTTTTATATAGTTCTCTAAATAGACAAGTAAGTGTCGTGATATACGAAGATTAAAGATTCAAATGTTAATGATTAATTGAAGAAACCTAAATAGGTAACACGGAATTGTTTTGTAAATCGATTTCGCTATATTGATAAAAAACATAAGGTAAAAATTAATAACCTTAAACATCGAATAAGAATTGTTTAATTAGTAGACCTTATACAACGCTTTGAATATTTCGGAAATGTCGGACGGTTTCTTTGATATGTCTTGTCATAGCTATAATCAAAATGTTGTTTTTAAATTGGACCTATTTACACATATTCCGCCATAAATGCATCACGAACAATGGTTGTTTTGTGTTTTCAACCCCCTTATGTAACATTTCGTCTTATCATCTTAGCCTGAGATCGTTTGTAGTGAACCGTACATACATCATTTCTACTGAATTGGAAAATGCAAACAAGTTTTAGAGGGGATATGCATATATAAAATGCAACAGACGGCAGACGATTATCCACGACGATAGACGCGAATTTTGTAGGCTAAGGAATTTAAAAATCAGTGTCAGGTCCTGTTTGAGTTCTTCTATACAAATTTACTTTAATTTGAATTTTAAAGTGCATATGCTTGAACAATTTTATTGACTTGTAAGATTACAAACTGAGACTGACCAGTCTAATAATTGGTGTTTGAACCTAAAATTTAGTAAAGTTTTCACGTGGACTAGAGAGGTCATTTGTTAATTTGACAGCATGTTTTTTTTTTCTTCATTTTGTTTACATAAGTATCATACATAACCCTCAATTGCAGATCAGTCATTTGCTTAACAAAGTTATGTTACCTAATTCTTGTAATATATCTTTGATAAAAAAATACATGTTCGTTAAAAATTATTGATTAAACAAAAACTTCAACCTGCCTATTTTGATAACCAAACAATAGTCAACCAATTTTGATCTGAAACGATCATTTTGGTAGTAATATCATCTGAAATGTCTGAACAATAATTTGTTCCGTGTTATTCAGTGAAGGTTTAAATCTATATACTGTAAATTCAGAACTGTTCATCTAATTCGCTTGCAGTCAATTCAGTACTGTTCGGTAGTTTTTCAGACGATTCGGTATGTTGTTGATCTGTACGGGTAAATAACAACTACTGAAATTTCCGAACATAGTCTGATCAGATTTTAATTGACTTAAAGCGAATTGTTTGAACTGTACTGAATTTACAACAGTGGATTTAACTGAAAATTGACTGAAAGACTGAACCTGACTTCCTACTATAAAGTTCAGTCTTTTAATGATTATTCAGAATAAAATGACCGTTTGAGATAAAAATGCGTGAATTAGGAAAAATCTTAATAACTAAGATGGCCAATAAATAAAAACATACATTCCATGAAGGTTTTTCAGATCGACGAATGCTTCAACTTCAATAGTTTGGATGTTGTTGTAAGACAGATCTCTAGAAAGAGAACAGTAATATATTGTATTAGGAATTACAATTATATTGTACAAATTTTGGGTAAAGTACTTTGACCAATACACCAAGTGCAATATTTTTCATGAATATTATCTTTTATTTCAAATCACCTGGAATACACAAACTCTAAACAATCCCTACTCTTATTTTACATATCCCATTTGCCAGGGAAAATACAAATGGGTGAAAAAATTACTCTCTTCATCATGCATTCTATATTAAAACTTACATCTGTTTTCAATTAGTAGTCTACACACTTTGCGAGTTTGCATAAGAATATACTATAAAATTACTTATTTCAAATAGTAGAATAAGCAGAAGTTGTAAACAATAACTTACATCATGAACACTTATAATCAATTTAATTTGTTTCATATACGATCCATGTAATGTATGTACAAAACATATAACTAAACTCTTTTTTACAGGATCTGTTTACGTTGTTCGTTGACTTGACTAACGCGATTAACCTATGGTTTTCATATTAATCTTATGATTATTCATTACTACCGTAAAGGTTATAAATAAAGGCAACAGTAGTATACCGGTGTTCAAAAGTCATAAATCGATTGAGAGAAAACAACTCCAGGTTACAAACTAAAACCCAGGGAAACACATCAACTATAAGAGGAAAAAAAAGGAACAACAGTAACACTGAAGTGCAACAAAAACAAACGCCAACGTACATCAAAAACGAACTATTTCTTAACAACTGCCATATTCCTGACTTGGTACAGGACATTTTAAGAAAAATATGATGGGTTGAACCTGGTTTTATGGTTAGCCTTTCGGGAAGTTATTGAACTCAATATGTTTCCTATCTAATGACATTGATTTCTATTGAAATAGCGATAACACTAAAACAATAAACAAAAGTTTGAGATCCAAGAGAGCGACACTGATGCACTTTTTTATTTTTTTATACCATTTTGATAACACTGGAATCGGTTGTTTAAAGTTATGAGTGAGAAGAAAATTACAGACATGAACTATAATAAACCGTTAAGTAAGATCGTTGCATGTGTTCCAGATTTCTCCACATTTATTGTTTGGCATGATGAAATATAACAAGCAAATGCGACAGATTATTTCGATTTTTTAATGTATCCAGTAACGTTTTGATAGTCTTCTTTTCTCGTGGGAAATGACGAGCAAGTCAAATAGATGTCATGTTTATGTTTTACTATAATTCGAATTGAACTGCGACTTATTTTAGTTTTGTCTAGCGGAGATAGCGGGAGCATCATGCATAGCTCAAGACCGTATCATATGTTACCTTTGTTTTATAGTTTATAGATGATTCTCCCGTGGTGACAATGACTGCCTTGTTATCACATTACTTTATTCATTTGGCATACATTATCCTTAGTTTTTGATATAATTTTAATTCAGATACTAAATAAGTGTTAGTTCAATGTAAATTACTCAAACACACAATTACTCACATTTTAAACGTGTCATTCGGAAAGTTCAACGGAACTTGCGTAAGTCCTCTACTTTTACAGAATACTGTTAATTCGCTATTCAAATTATATGAACAGGTACATTTATCAGGACACGATCCAACTAAGGTAACATGAATAAAGTAGATTAAAAACAAGGTCGATACATAAAACATCTTCATCACGGTAGAACTATACTAAAACAATAATTAAGACTGATTAGTTACAGTTTAGTGTTCGACAAGGTCGTTACACAGCTCCAGACTAGCAGTTCGTGTAGTTCCAATAATACCTGTAAAAACCTGCATAACGTTAAAAGATTTATCATTTTAATACGTAAACATATAATGAAAGAACAAAATAACGATACTTTCAAGATGTTTTTATATATATATATATATATATATATATGATCTCAATGTTTTAATTCTTTTTTTTTTCAAACAGATCAATTTACAAAAAAAAAAAACATGGAACAACGTACAAAAAAAAGTCAAGAAAAGTTACATAGCCATATAATTTATGTATACTAAAAAAAAAGATACAAACAACCCACAATAATTTACTCCGTTACCTTTAAAACTCAATTATCTCAACCAAACGCCGTAATGCGGTTAATAGCCCATGGTTTGCACACTGCAATGTTATGAACAGTCCCGGCAGATAAGGACTACACGATCTTGTTCTCTGATTAAAACATGTTTGTTAACATTTTGGATGTAGACAAACAGAATTATATATATAAATACAGAATTCGTATCATTACCAATGCTACAACTATTCACCAGAGATACTTAGATGTTATTACTGTAATTCAACGTACGATTTTCAACAATTAGCAGATCCATATCGTATGTTCAGCTATAACATACCCCCAAAAAGACGATATTTCAAACAATTAAAGCAACAAAAAAAACCCAACAAAGACCTGATTATTGTTTTAACAAAACTTGGAAATCAAATATGGCACACAGCAACCTAAGCACGGAAAAAACTTAAGACAAGACAAAATACAGAACGTAGGAATTATAGAGTACTTGCAGCTACTGAAAGCTAACGTTATTGCAACCATTGTACCTATGAGAATATTTATTATTGGTTATTATGGTTATGGAATTTCTGGTAACGACTTTGAAATTACCAGTTATAGAAAGATTACGTTTCATCAAGTCTATATTGTCACAACATACAACGGCATAGCAAACGGGAATGGAAGGGAAATATACACACAATCAAGAGGGCTCAAAACGAACATCGCCTCTCTTTTTTTGTTTGTTTGTTTATATGCAAATAAGAAGATGTGGTATTACCAATGAAGCACTTTCCACTTCAGACAAATGCAAACGTTACCAACTATAAGTTACTGCACAGCTTTTAACAAATGTTCAACGATGAACAAACCCATACTGCATAGCAATCTAAAAAAGGCCCCGTCCTCATCAATATAAAACCATTCAAATATGAAAACTAACAATATCATTTATGTATAAAATGATAACGAAAATTAAAGATGATATACAGCAATAAACGACATCAACGGATTACCATTATCCTGACTTGGGACAGGCACATACACAATGTGGCGGGGTTAAACATGTTAGTGGACGCCCATCCCTCCCTTTCCTAAGGACAGTGTTACAAATAAAGGCAACAGTAGTATACCGCTGTTCGAAACTCATAAATCGATAGAGATAAAAACAAATCCGGGTTACAAACTAAAACTGATGGAAACGCATCAAATATAAGAGGAGAACAACGACACAACAAAAACACAACATTAAAATGTAACACACACAAAAACGAACTATAATATAACAATGGCCATTTTCCTGACTTGGTACAGGACATTTTAAGAAAAAAATGGTGGGTTGAACCTGGTTTTGTGGCATGCCAAACCTCTCGCTTTTATGGCAACGTCAAACACAACATTAAAACGACAACATCATATGACAGGACCACAATACAAATAAATGGGAAAACATATAGGACAAAGAAACACACGAATAATAGCTAACAAAAGGTACAAGGCTTACAATTCAATACGCCAGACGTGCGTCTCGTCCACAAAAGACCAACCAGTGACGCTCAGACGAAAAAAATTTGAAAGCCAAAACAAGTACAAAGCTGAAGAGCACCGAGGACCAAAACTTCCAAAAAGTTGCGCCTAACACGGTTAGGGTTTTCTGCCAGGGACAAGAACATCCTTATAATTTAGAAAAATTTATAATTTTGCAAACAGTAAATTTTATAGAATGACTATATAATAGATATACATGATAAAACCGAATGGGGACTAACTACAGAATAACAACAGTAAAATAAACGGACAAATTGTACAAAACAATGAACGAAAAACAAATATGATAATCAGCAATTTGTTTTATCAAACTCTCGAAGTGCAATGAGTATTCTGAAAAATACTAGAGGCAATGTTTAAACAGCAACATTATAGTTAATTCAACTGGTTAGCAGTTTACACACACTTCTGAAGAATCTATTTGTGATATCATTTTTGATTAAACTTATCTTCCCTTTTGATTAAATTCCCTAAGGTGGATTCATACTTCCGTAGAAAAAAACATATAACAGTTGATATACTAATTGACTTATTTATGTTATATATATATTCCTTATAAAATGATGAAAGGGATATGATAGCTGATTAATAAATGCAAATGTATAAACTAGGGTTAAAAAAATGTCCACTGGAAAACATCAATTGCACGTTGCACTTATATTTTATAACAATTATTTGATGGTATCTTCAAATATTAAAATTGGAAAAATGCCATTCATGTAGAATCGTATGTAACTATAAAGAACAAAAATGTCTATTATCTGCCACTGTAAACTATATATCACAACACAAAAACAAAATACAGGTATTATTTTTCAATATACATCTTGTGCCAATTCTTTTATATTTTGAAAGGCCTCTATAAAGGAAAGGCGGGTTATTGCGAGGAGAAAGCAAAGAAATAATATGATAACAATAAATTTTCGAAAGTACATTTAGTCATATATCAGAAATTTAAGAGAAAATGATAAATATGCCATTGACTTTTTTTCTACATAACAAAACATGAACAGCAGTGCTGCACATTTCATTATAAGAGTAAGTATTCTGAATAATCTTTCATGGTGAACCATACTCTAAAATCCAAAGCAATTTTCGTAATTGGGAACAAATCACCATAAGACATATTCATTTTACAATGAAAAGTCCAACGTGTAAATGCCCCTGATGTTTATCACTAAATTGAGAAAAGTGCAACTAACGCTGGAAATTTTTAACATATGTTCACAGTTATTAACTTCTTAAATCAATAAAGTTGTATACAGGTTGATGAATAAGTTGTATCAGTACAATTCAAACGTATACTTATTGTAATGAGTGATTGTTTTAGATTGATTTGGACAGCTTTATTAGAAATATTTAATATTATACAGTTTCTATAAATGTTTCTTTTATTCTATGTTGAAAATCAGATTCTGTAAAGGTTAAATCATTTTATTGGGACGATTCGCTTATCACTTGAGTTGATTGATGAGGGTCTGAGGTAGCTGGTAGTCTTTTGTCAATTTTCCAATGATCTAGGATGCATGTGTTCAGATTTGTAATGTTTGACAGCTTCACTTCAATCAGTTGTTTTCAGAATTTATAACCAACAGTTGTGCAAAATTAAAAAAATTAACCACCAGTCTCCCCGTCAATTATGTATTTTTCTATCACGTTTTGTAAAATGATTAATTTTTTAGGCCAAAACACTCATTTTCCAGAATAATTAGGGTGCCATCGTACCTTACTTAAGAAAAACTCTGATCTTGTATGCTCAGCAGCTCTATTTCACATTGGTTTATGCCCACATAGATCGATCCTACTGCGGTACTCCGTGAAAATCAAGTTCGGCTATACAGACCAGGAACCGATGACAAAATTATTCTGCAAAAAATAGGCAAAGTAGCAGTACATTTTTCTTCAATGGTTGGTTAAATAATTTCTTTTTAACTGAATTGATCAAGCGAGAGTATACAAAATCATTTACCATCTATGATAATTGAGACAACAGACGAAATGGAATTGTACTTAGATATTAAATCGTACACCGAAATACTAGGGATTTCCTACACCTGAAATAGATTATTTTAGCTGTATTTGGCAAACATTAGGAAGTTGGGGTCATCAGAGTCCTTCAACTTCGTTATTGCATGGCCTTTTAACCGTTTTTTTATTCCGGCGTCACTGATATTTTATTTTTCGAAACGCTCGCCAGACGGCGTCAGGCATACATAATCTCAAGCCTGGTATCTATGATGCATTTTTCTTATGTTAATTTACTATAGTTCAAAAGTTATGATGCAGAGTTATACGTTCATTTTACTAATTCTTTATGACTAACTACTGAAATTTCAAAACGTACGCATCACGTTTAAAAAATTACTAACCCACCATTGTGAAATTTTCCCACAAAACATACTGAAATGAATACAAATTTTAAAGTTTAAAGCTGATAAACATATTCGGTTTCACAACAATGGTGGTTCATAAGATGCATTTTTAACACGGACAATGAAACAAAGACTTGTTTGTGCCTTTAATAATGCGGACGTTTTAGTCATGTCGTCTTGTTAAAAAACAAGACTTAAACAAATTATAATATTCACTGTAAAGCTACATAATTTAAAGGCGAAAAATCTATATTGTATTTACGAAGGAATAATACATATATGCGTATGTAACTCATGTTTTAAAGAACTAAATCATCGATGTATCATACATAATATCTCAATCACGAATACATTATAACTGTTGCAGACAAAAGCCCGAGAAATATGTTTTGCGACGCAAAATAACTAATTGTTATGATTATTCAGAAGAAGCAATATTTGTTTATACGAGACAATACAAAGGGTTTCAGAGTATAAACTAATGGAATCAATTCTGTCCAGGTTATTCTTCAAATTCAAAACATGCACGATTGCAATTACACAGTATGTTTGTTTTAATAGGATGTTACGATCTAGTAGTGATGTAAGTTAAGTAGTAAATATTCCGGTTTCCTTTAAAACCAGTGATTTTGAGACTGAAAAACAATCTCAAGTGTGTCTTTTTAGTAACAGAGTAATGCGCTTAAAAATGTGATTCATTTCTGTTAAGATAGGAATAAGTTATTCTAATTTGAAAAAAAAAAACACTGAATGAAGTTTGTTTGCCCAAGGGGATTTTTATATTTAGTAACACTAGAAGTTGTTATGCTGTGAAAATATAGATAACAAATAAGATCACCAAACTTACTGTTCTTAATGGATGACTACTGAAATGTCCTTCCAATTGATTTTGAGTCCTGAAATAGTCAATACGTAATGTACGTGAGGCAATTCTTGATATTCATCTCATTATAGACATAGTAAAAGCATCAGATTTAAAGTAAAAAAAATAGTCGCTCGAGAGCGCATGAAAAGAAAAAGATTAAACAAATCCAATATGTTCACAACATTTGTCATCTCATATACGCTGTGTTGGAGCAAGTAGTTGTGTGTGTAAAAAAAACGAAACTTTTTTCTAATGTATCTGGTAAATGCATGTCTAACATGTATTTAAAGGGTAAAGCTTAACTCGCTGATATATACTAATACATTTTCTTCGACACTACACATTCAGTTTTTTTTCCGTTTTATCATTAGTCCTTGTCACAACTGTTTGTCCGTAGACATTGGTAAACCAAATAGTGCTGAGAAAGGAGGACATTCGGAATTTGTCCGTCACTGGTAACAAAAAAAAAACATAAATATTCCCTTTTTGCCTCCAAGCAATAAACATCAATAAAATGTAAAGGCTAAGACCAATGCTGGCCTCGAATTATATTACGATTTACGTTTGTACACGATTTTCAATTTCTTAATGTTCTATATACGCTAAGTTAAAAGCTAGTATTACATAACCTTACCTTAACTTGATTCATTTTTCTGACGTTCATACCACTGAAATTTCTAAAACTTCCTTTTCAATATTTCTATATTGACACAACATTGGAAGACACAATTTCAGTTGAATTACTTACCCAATATTTAGACGTCCTCCATAAAAGAAAGTTGTGTTTGTATGAATACAGTTTGCAAAGTTTAAAGTCTGTTAACGTATTTGGTTGTTTGTTATAAGAAGGCTCTTTGGGATAAAAGAACATTAACATGTTTGTGCTCTATTGATTAGTAAACTCTTCCTGGTTAATCTTTTAACTTTTTCATATTTTTTGTTCTCCAGACTTTTTGTTATTGACTATTCGATATAGTTAACATTCATCATCCGACTTCTTGCTAGGAGTCGGTTCGGTATTTATTTTTTGTTAATCATAAGAAATAAAAACTCGAATAATTATTCACTTAAATTTGGCTCTCATATCAAAACCAGTAATTCTATATGCAAGAAATTCTTTTTTTATATAATTTTACGACAGAATAGTGAATAAAGTTTCATTTGGAATTTGTTTATATCGTTTGTCTTGTAAACGTTGATAATTTGCGGTCGTATTTTTCACCTAAACATTTCGCGTTGTTATTTAACATTGTCTGTTCTAAATCAGGTAAGATTGGTATAAAATCAAAATAATAATATTAATCATAAAAAAGTGCATTTATTGCAAAATCTTGGTTTTAATGGAAAATTTCGTACTTTGTACCATTCAATTTTGCACATAAAAATAAATCAATTTCCGTCTGTTGTTTACAAAAAAATATTTTCATACAAAATTAGCTTCTCCTATTACTACACTAGTATTAAACGGCTGTTTTGATATGATCAGGTCTTAAAACATGTTAAATACCGAACAAAAATATTGAGTCATTTATAGTATTTCGGTCAATTTTCAGGCTTATCCATTGATAAATTCAGTGCTGCTAAGACCATTGATTGTAGTCAATTAATATCTGTTCAGTCTATGTTAAGATTTTTCAGTAGTTGTTATTTACTTGTTCACATTAACATCATACTGATTTGTCTATAATGATATTGAAAAGTAGAAAATTTACCGCAGTGGATAAGTCTCAACAAGTAGAATAACAAAATGGCATAAGACACTCTATAGACAAAGCACTTAATAAGAAATAAAAGACAATACTACAAACATGAACTTGGCACGTTAACAAAATGGTGGGATGTATAAATACCGAGCCACGCCAAAGTATATTACCAAAATAAGCTAAACAGCAAAAGCAAAAAATATACAAAATTGGCCGAAAGAATTGGCATAACTCAATAATATATTGCTCAGATTTTTTCTAATGATGTAAAGATCAAAATGATCGTTTCCAACTTATATCTGATTCGTTAGCTAAACAAACGAATAACACCCTCAATTTTTATCACGATTACCACTCAATTTTGATCTAAAAAGCATAAGTATAAGGTCACGTGAACTCAAGTTTGATATAAAAAAAAAAAGAAGTTTTGAATGCATGTTATTCAACTATCATGTCAAAAGTTGGGGTACAGCAGTTAACATAGTATTATATTCCTAAGCATCTTTATCAAAACAACTATGTCATCAAAGAAAAAACAAAATGGCATTTAGACACTCTTTAGGAAAACAACATAAGCAAAAATTACGGACAAGCATAAAACAATGACCATAGAAAAATAACACAATGGCGGACTGTATAATCTATACGTCAAGACCATCATGTATTATTTGTGAGGTTGATATGGAATATTCATTACCAAAGTCTTGGTTTCTTCCGATGAACTTTTTTAAGAAAAAAGACGAGACGTTCTTTGACATACAGGACTCTTGTTCGTCAACTTTCTGCTCAGACACTGGTGACGTTTTATAAAGTCTATGTAGCAGCTGCAAGCGCTTGAATACCAAATGAGTTCGGAAATGTATATCCATATGCAGGTTAAGTTTGTATATTTTGCCTCAAAGGTTTGGGAAATTTTATAATCACAATCGTCTCGTTTGTCATATATTTTGTGATCGAGATGAGGTATAAGTCTAAAATGAGGTGGATGAAGACTTGTTTGTTTTCACAATTTATAGTTCTGGACAATATACTAATTGAACACAATCAGAAAACATTGCATTCGTAATGGAAATAGATATAAGAAGATGTGGTATGTGTGCCAATGAGACAACTCTCCATCCAAGTCAAAATTTATAAAAGTAAACCATTATAAGTCAAAGTACGGTCTTCAACACGGAGCCTTGGATCACACCGAACAGTAAGCTATAAAGGGCTCCAAAAATTACTAGTGTAAAACCATTCAAACGGGAAAACCAACGGTCTAATCTATATAAAAAAAAACAAGAAACGAGAAACACTTATGAACCACATTAACAAACGACAACTACTGAACATCAGATTCCTGACTTAGGACAGGTGCAAACAAATGCAGCGGGTTTAAACGTTTTAATTGTACCAAACCTTCACCCTTTTTCTGAAACAATAGTGTAACATCACAACATAGAATATCAATAGTATGTCTGGATGTGAAATAAAATAATCTGACTTCTTATATCTTCTTATTTTTGAAAAATGTCTGAAATATGAAATCCGACTTATATGAAATGCCAAGATGTCGGCACTGAGAGGTGCACAGTTCGTTCCCATAAGAATGTCGACAACTTGTTGAAAAAGTCTACCTCCAAATTCATCAAATATGTTGTCAATAAGAAACTTCATCATACTGTTCACTTGTCCCTTAGTGTAGTATGTTTTACCTTTCTGTATATTATTAACAAAATAGGTCGTATGGTATCCCAAAGCAGTTCATTTAAAGCGTATGCTACCATTTTTATATTGACAAGCATTATTGATTATTTCTTATAGAAGATTTTCACTCTCACGTGGCGAATGATGGTATAATGGCTAGTGAAACTTACCTCTTTGCTATTACAGTGCAACTTACTTAATCAGACATCTGAGTATTCCGACAACTCGTGACATGCGACAAAAATATCCGGTCCCCAAAAATATATTTAACAATCCTTGTTAAAAACATGTGTATTCCAAAAACTGTCACTTCCGTAATCCGACACTGTGTTCAAGTCCCGAAGTGATTAGTTATCTCTAATTAATTCTGTATAATCCAACTCTTTGATCTGCTGATCAATAAATTAAACTAAATATTTATCACATGTTAGTGTGTAGTATGATCACTGAACCGTCAAACAAATTGACATGATTGTGTACATTAAAATTTATAGATCGGAAGATGAGTTGAGGCTCGTCAAGGGTTACAGGTAAGTTTACATTTTTGGAAAAATAAACTTTAATTGTGAGTTGTTTTTAGTTTCTTTGTAAAAATCATCAAATATTATACAACATGGCTACGGCACCTAAATCTAAAAAGAGAATTTTTTAAAATGACTCTGCTTCGTCTTCACTAAAATGGGCTAGAACGAATTTAAGGTAGATCATAGGTATATATTTCTTGAGATAGAATTTTCTTATACTTTGCCAAAATGAAGATTTTACTATGCTTTTTTCAAAAGTATAATAAAAAGTATGGGTTACCGTGCTATTTTCCAAGCTATGAGTCGTTGAAAATTGCCTAATTTTGGTAAGATTGTTCATGAAAAAACACATTTGTGTGCATAAAACAAAATCTATGAGATAGAATTTTGAAATAAATTGTGAGAAGATAGGTTTTATAATATGTTTTCAGAAAATAAAAAGAAAAAATGGTGTCACCGAACTTGTTTTCATGCTACAAGTGAAAATTAAAAATTTCCCCATCAGTTCAGTATATATTTTTTACTAAAGGAGTTATCTTCCCTGAAATGGCGTATTTGAAAAAATTGATTCTAAAAACACAAAATTTGATATTTGTTTAAATATTTGAGTTATACAATAAATCACCAATTTTTATTTACATAAATAAACAGTCTAACCAATAAATTGTAAATCTGTCTCGGAATTTACAGATTTAGGCAAATAACTAGACTGATTTTGTACTGGAATTGTACAATCCAAAATGGCTGTATACCATGGATCTACCTTAAGTTTGGAAGAAAAGTTAAATTTGATTGAAGACTCCGATGAAATTCCAAAATTAACCCAAAAACAACTTGGCGAGAAGTATGGGATCGGACGTGCAAAAGTATCGGATATTTAAAAAAAAAAGAAGGAGTTTTATAACCAGCAATATGCCGATAATTCTGCAGGAAATAAAAAATGGTTTACGATTTCTTCGAAATATGGAGAATAACACGATCTGTTTTTCAAATGGTTAACACGAGTTAGAGCAAAAATCGTTCCTCTTAGCGGTCCATTGTTACAGGAAAATGCTTTAGATTTCGCAAAGGAATTAGACCTCAAAGATTTTAAAGCCTCTAACAGATGGCTAGACAATTGGAAAAGTAGATTTTCGATTGCACATTTGAAAGTTTGTTGCGATATGTGTTATAATAAATGTATTTCATCCTATAACTTATCATATTGTTGTGCATACTTGTGCTGTTCAAGAGTGAAACCTGAGTATTCCGACACCCTGTACAATCCGACATAATTCTCTGGCCCCTCATCGTGTCGGATTGGACAGGTTGCACTGTATTACAAAACTAAAGAAATCGCAATATTTTTTTAATTCACAGGAGTTACTTGTGATTCGTAACATATTTGTTATGAATTTAAAACCTTTTTACTTTAGAAAAGCCTATAAAACGTGAAAACAAGTTAAGCTACAATTATATTTTCTGATCTAAGGTTTATAGATTCGATTTTTTTTTTATAATTAAAATGTCTAGTCATGTGTTTCAAAAATGACATGCACTCATCGGTATGTGTGTGTTTTGAAGATGCACTATTGTACCCTAATTTGAATGATTGATTCATTGAAAGATCCAAAATGTCCATTTGACAAATATAAAAGACACAATCAATGTGCCAATGTGAAGCAAATATTACACTGCTTCTACTTGACGAACACAATGAGTCGAGAATTTGACATGCAAGCCCACAAGGTACTGAATCTATGACCTGTTATCCTTTTTATTTTTGGCGAAATTTGACAATCATTAATCTCAAATCAGCTGTGGAGAAATAAAAGCAATGGAATTTATTGATGTTTTTTTTATAACTCGGTTTTTTTTTCTTTTGAAAGAAAATCCATATAAATATACATACTCTCTTTTTCGTCTCTTCAATTTCCTAAGGTTAACAAGTCAACCAAACATGTAAAGGACACTGATAAAACCACATTGAGAGACTTGTTAAAAGAATGGGTTATTCAAACAAAAAATATGAAAAAAAAATCTCTTGTTAAATAAGGATGATGATTACAGTTAGAAAATATAACATGTATAATGAGTCTCTTAGTGATATTTCAATTGTGCAGAATATGATATGTTTATAAAAAGATAAATATCTTACTTTACATTATAGAAAATCTGGCATCTCATTAGTTACATGTCTTGAGAATATACGTCGCAGCTATTCGAAATCTTTTAATTAAAATTTATATATAAAAATATGTACAGTATACACCATAGAATTGCAAAATACTAAGGATGTCATATACTGATGTCGTTAGTTAAGAACGAAGTCTTTTGTAAGTTTCAGTGTTGTCATTTCTAAAGATTTCATGTATTGAATAAAGACGATGAAAACAATCATAAAATCCATAAGTCTCTGTGTGTGAATTTAATTATACTGCATGTGATATGTAATAATAGATAAATATATGAAGTAAAATTTAAATGAAAATTATACATCGCATTTGTTATTTAGAAAAATGCGTCATCGCCTGTCAAAACGCTCTTATATGTATAATAGCTAGGTCATTGATGCACAAACTCATTAAATAATACTACGCATTTGAAATACAAATAGGATAATTATTTTCGAAAATAAAATTATGCTTTACATCGTGAACACGTAGTCGTATAAATGTCATTTAAATGGAAAATAGAAAAAGAAATACTTTTGCGTCGTAATTTTAACACTGTTAAATACTTTGTGTAGATGTTTCTGCACCATTCAAGGTAGTGAAGTTGATGTAATAGTTATTACCAATCAATTACTTTATCTTGCTATGATAAGTTAATTGTAAGATTTTTAATGTTTTTTAAAGATATAGGTGTTGTAGTGTTTTGGTGTAATTTCTTATGTTGGATAGGGCTGTTAGGAGGTTGTATCGTGCACCTGTGTTACACGTCATGTACCCGCGGTAACCTTCTTGGACTGATGGATTAATTATCTGGAACTGTCTATCGAGTTATCTTAGTATTTTCTACCAGTACAGAATTTTCTTGTTAACAGGTATGATTTTCATCAAGATGATGAATTATCTATTGATTGATTGATTGACTGTTAATATTTAGATTTTAGAATTTTAGAATTATTGGTTATATCACGGCGGTTATTTTATATTAGTTGAAGAAGCTTAGGAACCACCGAACATCGACATGAAAACAAACTGACATTCGTAGTTAATTAAAAAAAGAGTTGCACGCACCTGCATCTTCAGTGAATCAAACTCGCCTGTAATTCAGTGGTTGTGGTTCGTTGCTGTGTAACATATTTGTTTTTCTTTCATTATTTTGTACTTGAATTAGGCCTTTAGTTTTCTCGGTTGAATTATTTTACATTTGTTATTTCGGGGCCTTTTATAGCTGACTATGCCGTATGGGCTTTGTTCATTGTTGAAGGCCGTACGGTGACCTATAGTTGTTAATTTCTGTGTCCTTTGGTCTCTAGTGGAGAGTCTTCTTATTGGCAATCATACCACATCTTCTTTTTTATATTCACAACATCAGTGTTGAGGCTAGTGATGCAGTGGACGAACTATTTAGTTCAAACAAGGATATTTAAAATACAGTATGTTTTGGTAAACGTAACCATTATACAAGTAAAGCATGATATATTTCAGTAGTGACATTCTTACAGGTTAATAATTTGTTGAAAGGAGATCGATATCATTAAGCATGATAACATTAAGGTTAAAACCATTGGGGACAGTTTATAGTATCTTCTATTTGAGATGTACTCACTTAGGCACTTATCCAAATTTAGATTTTGAATATAGTAAAATCGTCTGGAAACACATTATTTAAAACAACGTTGAAAAGATTACAGAAATAAAGTACCCCCAGCCAGATCATGTCCAACAGTATATTGCATGATAAATATGGAGCAGGAAGATAGTACAGTTCCCAACTTCCAAACTTTAATATTTCAAAATTTACTGTTTCCAACTGAAAAATATTTCCTAAACTTAAAGTAAAAACTAATTTATTGTCTTGTCTTCTTCGCAATACACTGTTGATCGTTAACATTATGTAAGTATTATCAGCTGTATTATGTCACTGTTTCCTTTAATTTTACTACTAAGTTCGTTTCTTGAAAGGTATACGTCGTTGCGCTAGCATCTATAACGACTTACTCATCGGTTAGAGACACGATTCAAAAGAAAAACTTTTAAAAGTTATTATTTAATTTATTAAACCGTGTGTAGACTTGACTTATATAACTCTGCTATACTTAGAATCATGATAAGTTTAGTGTTTACATTCATATGTGTTTGTTTTGTTTATAGACGCCTTTCCATTTTCCCTAAGTCTCAAGTACATTCAAGTCTATTCAAATAATGTTGATTTAAAGTCAGTACAATATTTATACAAATAACATAAGCTGTCTTTAATTGTTTGTACCGTCATTCAAAAAAGTATAATGATTAAACAATATATGATTTGCAACAGTAAGCAAACTTGATATTACCATGACAAAGATCAGAATTAAATGCATAAGATGTTAAATCAGGAATTAAAAATATACATATACCTCATCAGAAGCAAATATTGCCAGCTCTCTTGTATGTCTTTTACTGAACATACATCAAAGAAATCAAGGTGCATTTAGATCAGTGGGATAATTCTTCGTATTACCACACATTAGACAATGCATTCAAATAGCTGTGTAGTAATGGATAACAAAAATAAACATGATGAACAAGCAGTGTGTATTGCAACGTATATATAATAAAACCTTTATGATCGGTTGTGTGTTATATATTAACTATAACCTACCTTTTGTGGTGAGTGTCAAGAACAGCGCTACATAGAACTAAGATACCGATACTCTCAATGAAGTTAATTATGAAAGATGTTTTGGTGTATGGCTTGGACTCAAAGAACGACACAACTTTTCACATGAACTGAATGTTAAAGATACTGTCTAAATTATATCAAAAATGCAGTTGTATGCTTGATGTTGTGTCACAATA